GTACTGTACTCAGAATAACAACTACTGAATTTAATATTGAGAATGAATTTCGTGGGGTCGATATATTCGAAATAAATTCTTGTACAAATAAAAATATTTAAAACATGATTTTTAATTATGACTTAGGAGTTAGATTGAGATTGTTATTGGTAACCATGGTAATCAACGATTGCATGTTATTAAATTACTTTTTGTTTGTTTGTTTGTTTGTTTTGAATAGAATATATATTGAAACACGTCATATATTACACAGCCATATTTGTTTGTATTATTAAAGGACGTTTAAACGCTTAATCGTTCTATATTTGGAATTCGCATTTCATAATATGATAGGATGAAAATACCCCGTAAAATACCGCAAAATAACGGCACGCTGTAACTTATGGCGTTACAGTTAGAGATGTATAATAATGTCGGTATGTTTCACTATTATCAAAAAACATTTTATTATGTGAAATAATATTAATATTGCCGATTTTGGCAATAATGGTCATGTGTTTATCTTTTACCTATTATTTCGTGGTGATACATAATGCATGAAAGATGCAAATAAAAAGTCAATATACATTTTTTGTTTCATAGTTCATTTTTTACACATACCATGGGACCTGGCAGCAGGCGCTATTTCCTGCATTTGAGGAGCAAATTTTGCTGACACAGCAGTTTGATTTGGGGGGTGACAACACCCTAAATATTTCTATCGAGGGACGACTACGCCCCTGTGCCGCCACTGCTTGGCAGTGAACTGAAAATGGTCTATTAACAAACCTATTATTGTACGACACACAGGCATAAACATTAATGTTGCATATATCTTAGTGAAGCTAAACTTTTTGTTTTGTTGTCAGGAAACTGATGCGGTATGTGCGGCAGGCCTCTGCTGTCAACTCGCTTATTTATTATTCTGTTTTGAATTACTAAATGCGGGAATATGCTATATATATTTGTATTGTATTAAAAATATAAAACAATATATCATTCCATTACTTTCATAACCATGTTCTTCAGTTCTGGTTTCTGTAACCAGCAACTACTACTTAACTAATTGATGCAAATTACTTCTACTCTGTCTATTACGGTGAATATTAATGAGTAAACACTATCAATAATGCACATATTAATTATCCAGTCAAATTTGCAAACAAGGTATCAACATATCAATGTAAACATGTCGCTCAAAGTTTATCTTTTGTAGAATATAATTTAGGCTTTAAACAACTCAGAGTGGAAAGTGTTTTTTTTTTGTTCATCTACTATTCAATTTACAGATTCAAATATAATATAGCGTTGGAATTGATGAAGTGAGAATGAAGAACTATTATTTAACAATTATTTTCGAATTATTCACAAACGGGTGGGCGAAAATAGATGTTGTACGCGATTATATATTGAATTGCTTCCTATTTAACCTACCATGGCCTGATTTTTGTGTTTCGCTTAGTGGTCATACAACATGCATAATGTAGTGCACGCTACCAAGCTTGCGTGACCCCAGGTCATAAAGAAATCGCATCGCTTGTGAGGTAGCTTTTCTCAACAAATCTAATAAATAGTCTTGATGGCTAATGTTGTATCGATGTTGAGGGCGCATGGTAGATATGCAACCATGGTGCTTGATGAGGTTGGCTAATGAGGTTGATGACGTCACCATGGTTACATGCCCTTCATGTGACAATCCGCTTCCCCATATGCACAGAAAAAAATGCATTGCCAATGTAAAAAAACAATATCACTAATAAAAGTGACAACACTTCATAAATTAACACAAAATATAATAGCAACCACATTGACACACACTATACTAGTTTTCTATATCATAATAGGATGATGGTATTTTTCTCTATAAATTTAACATTTTTAATTTTGCATATGTGACATTAGTATATAGCGTTCCATGCTTTTATAATGAGACAACAGGTATCTAAATAAATGCATCGTTATGGGAAACTGAGGTAAAACAAAACCTATGTTAACATGCATTGTCGTATAACAGTGCTCTCAAAAACAAATTTGTATGTGATATTTTTGATATGCACAATATTTCTGATATTGGAAAAAATAGATGATGTGTACTTGCATTTACAATCCACATTTCTCCCATTTATATATTTCTCTTTTTTTATTTATTTGCAGGAAAATGAATTCCACACATCTTTACGCTTTTTGTGATGCTGCTTTTGAAAATACTGAGTACTTTATTGGGTTTGCCACCATCCTTGTCATAGGCATTATTCTGAACATTTCGTTTATGTATGTCGTTTTTACAGTTCCCTTCATGAAGAATTCGACCAACCTTCTTCTGATAAATCTTGGCGTGGCCGATATTTTGTCCAATTTATTCACTATTGGATTTACAGTGTGTTCTTCTATGTACGATAAAAGCTGTCCCCTATTCACAAATCGGATGAATTGGTGCTTGTACAATTTTCCCTTCCAACTTGCAATCATGACGGGCATCTGCACGATTGTAGTGATTAGTATAGAACGATACTTGGCAATTTGTAGACCTATTGCTTACAAAACGAAAGGTTTAGACAGAAAAGGAAGAATAATTCCGTTTGTCATTCTCACCTGGATAGTGGCGGCCATTTTGAAAATTCCTGACAACGTAAGAGAGTGCACCGGTTTATATTATAATGACGCCACAAACCACGTGTTGCATGCTTTATTGATTTTGACATACGTTCTGGTACTGTTTATTGTTACTATTGCATATACAAAAATCACTCGCAAGATGAACGATTACAAGAAGAGCCAAATAAGCAGCCGTTTAGAAGAGAAGGAACAAGTGATCCGAGTCTGTATTGCCACATCAGTGGTGTTCGTCATTTGCGTGACGCCGCGCATTCTGAACAGCATCTTGGCGATCGTTGCACAGACCGGAAATAACGTGATTACCCTGCAGGTCTTCACTTGTACCGACTTTGTCACCTACCATCTCTTGTTTTTCAACTCATCAGTCAACTCTATCATTTACAACGTGGCAAGTAAAAAATACCGATCTGCATTCAAACAAGCTTTCTGTTCTTGTTTCACACGAGAGCATAATATCAAGAACATCGTGAATTCGATGTCATCGCACAACAACTTCTCGCACACTATGCGGACCCGGGTAAGTGGAGAACCTGAAGAACACCTTGATATGAATAATGAGCTTATAAAAATTGCCCCGATCCGTGACGTGGCCTGCCAAGATGGTATTTCTGCTCCCTATATTATAGAAGACGAATCTAGAGATACAAGACTGTAAAAGTTTTGCCATCTGGCGTTATGTTTGAAATGTTCGGGACTTCTGTTATATATTTTCTGTAACCGTAATAAGACGATATATATCATAACTTGCTTTTTACATTGTGAATTATATGATAATAATCACTTGACTCAAGGATAGAGAGCGCCATCTCTTAATAATTATTAATAATCATAATATTATGAGGTTTTTCCGAGGATACTGCAAAGTATGCATGAAGAT